GATCCCGACCAACACCAGCCTGCTCATTGCCATCGGCGTCCAACCAAGCATGCCGGACGCCCATGCGGTCCCGACCGAGGACCTCCTGGCGCGCTTCAATGTCGACGCAAACATCGGCCTGACCGATGCCCAGGTTGAGGACTTCCGCCGGAAGTATGGCCCCAATGGTGCGCGCTGACCTCGCCCCCTTGCCGGGGCTTTCCCTTGCCCTCTCCTGCTGCTTTGAGGGCGGGCTTCGCCCGGGCCCGACCGCTGCCGCGACATCCCCTCACCCCCGCCCATGCCCTCGCGTTATTTTGCCCCCCCCCCCTCCCCCCTGGTCGCCCCGGTCCTCTCAGAGCTCCCCAAGCCCGAGAAGGTCCCCCTGTGGAAGCTGATCCTCGAGCAGTTCGAAGACACCCTCGTGCGGATCCTCCTCGGGGCGGCGGTCATCTCCTTCATCCTGGCCCTGACGGAGGACTCCGGCTCCGGGCTGGAGGCCTTCGTCGAGCCCCTGGTCATCCTGCTGATCCTGGTGGCCAACGCCGCGATCGGTGTCATCCAGGAGACCAACGCCGCCAGCGCCATCGAGGCCCTCAAGGAGTACACCCCGGATGAGGCGAAGGTCCTGCGCGGCGGTCGCCTCCAGCGCATCAACGCCGCGCAGCTCGTGTGCGGGGACATCGTCGACGTCGTGGTCGGCGACAAGGTCCCGGCCGACCTGCGCGTGCTGCAGATCCTGTCGACCACCCTGCGCGCCGATCAGGCCATCCTCACCGGCGAGTCGGAGTCCGCCTTCAAGCAGTCCTGCCCGGTGGCCACGGCCGATTCGTCCATCCAGGACAAGACCAACCTGCTGTTTTCCGGCACCACCCTCACCGTGGGCAAGGCCCGCGGCGTTGTGGTGGCCACCGGCCCCAATACCGCCATCGGCCACATCAGCCAGTCGCTGCAGGACAGCGACGGGGAGGACGAGAAGACCCCCCTGAAGAAGAAGCTCGATGACTTTGGCGACATGCTGTCCAAGGTCATCTTTGTCATTTGCATCCTCGTCTGGCTGATCAACTTCAACCACTTCACCGACGCCGCCTTCGGTGGCAACCCCCTCAAGGGCGCCATCTACTACTTCAAGATCGCCGTGGCCCTGGCCGTGGCCGCCATCCCGGAGGGCCTGCCCGCCGTGATCACCACCTGCCTGGCCCTGGGGACCATGAAGATGGCCAAGAAGAATGCCATTGTCCGGTCGCTGCCCTCGGTGGAGACCCTGGGCGCCACGTCGGTCATTTGCTCCGACAAGACCGGCACCCTGACCACCAACAAGATGTCCGTCATCAAGATGTGCATCTTCGACGACACGGCCACCCCGGTGGAGTATGACATTGAGGACTCGCTGTACCGCCCGACCAGCCGCATGTGCGTGTCAGAGGAGGGGCATCCTAGCCCTGTGGCCCCGGGGCTGTGCCCCCCCCCCCCCCCCCTCTCTCTCTCTCTCTCCCTTGGCTGCTCTCTTTTGTCT